GACAGCCAGAGAGTTCGACTACAGCCTTTTTGAGCCCCATATAGTGCCCAGCACAAAGAACCTGTACGTATTCTTCCCCCTGGGTGTTGTGCTAACACTTTGTTCAATCTCGGACATACGGTGGTAGAGTTTTACAAAGGTTCTTGAGTCGTTGTGGGTTTTGTGAGACTGGAGAAGTCTTTATAAAATATTTATCAACTTCGAGCACAGTCTCTGTAAGTGAAAAGTTACTAAAGCAACAGCAAACTTAAACTGCTACGGGCTCTTTGTTTCTGCCTCTGTCAGACACCAGCTGTTTTGCAAGCTGACGCTCAGGCACATCAACAGGTGCCCAGAGCAGGTGCTGTCTCATGTCCAGGGGAAGCGCTATCGGAAGGCCCTAAAAACATGTAAGTAGCTTTTCTGAATATACAAGCAGATGAAGTTTTTTCTCTAAGCTTTTGAGATTCCAGTAGATCTACATGGAGGGAGAAAGTCAGTTGTCTTTAGACTGACATTAGTGTGCTGCTGTTGCTGTGCGTGCTCCTCAGCTAGGAAGGAAGATCCCAGATGCAGGGAGCAGTCGGCCTCTAGCAAATACCTTGGAACATCTTTACTGGAGAGGGCGGTTCAGTCCTGCAGCACAGGCTCCGTGTAAATGTCTTTCCCCTCTTTTATGGTCCGTAGCATCACTATAGGTTACATGAATGTGTATTAGAGTTGGAGGTTGACTTGCTTTTGAGTTGCATTTAGTACAGTCTAGGAGCTGGGAATGAAAAGGCCTCGGGTGGTAGAGTGGCCTTCCTAAGAGCTGCTCTCTTAGATGAGGAGTGCCAGAAGGAAGGAGTGGAGTACATCCCTGCCTGCCTGCGGCAGAAGCAGCAGCGGACGCAGCGCCCTGATGACCAAATGAATAGGAGCAGGCAGCCTGACAGGAAAGAGGAATTCTGGGAGCCGGAGTCCAGCAATGAGGATGGAGAGGAGACGGATGATAGCATGAGTGACCTGTACCCACGTGAGTGAGAATGTCACTGTCATCTGTGTCCTGAAGGGAGCTTGTTGGCTGATTTTCTGCCAGCTTCTTTATACTGTTCTTTGTTGCTCAGATGCTAGAGGCATGGAGTTCTTGGGTTTCAGTAAAGCTTACCACCACCGGATAAGAAATTGCAGTTATGACTAAGTAATAACCAGAGCTGGATCACATAAGGTGTTTGGGGAAGGATCCAGGATCTGCTGGGATTTGCTGCTTTAGGTATCTCTGCTTTCCTCATTTCTTAGCAAATCCTTGAGTCTCAGAGAAGCTGGTCGGGCCGTGTTGCTTACACCTATAGGTGCTGCCTGGCTGTGGGAAGGACAGGGGTGACACCCCAGAACTGCCCTGGAGTGGGGTGACTGAGATCACCAGGCACACTCCTCATAAACCAGCATGTTTATTTCCGAAGTATTGCAGTAGTGACACATACAAGCTCAGCGACTGAAGCAGCTTTGCACATTGCCTTCAAGATGTCCTCAGAGCCGAGTCAGGGGAGCCTGTGCGCACAGGGGGCTGATGCTGAGCT